TCCGGTTTTTTAGTTTTTTCATAAAAATTTTTGTGATTATGCTGGTTTGCGCAAAAATTGAGATATCAATTTGAAATTTGGACAGAAAATATGTAGACATCTGAAAGTTTTGCTTGTAGTCAGTGTTGTAAAGCTATAAACTTTTGTAATATTTCAGACCATTCGAAAGCCCGTCAGTGTATTGATGGCGAAAAAAATAAGATCACTGAGTGACATGCTCACTGTCACATGGCGCGCTGTCATATGCTCGCCGTCCTCTGTTTTTTTTCCTCTCCCAGTTACGTTTAAAAGTTATAAATAAAAAAGGTATATCGATTGACTTTTCTCGGAATTCAATACACGATTCGAAGATTGCATAAGCCGATAACAGTTCGTTTCTCGAACGATGTTTTCGAATATCCCGAATGGCTGCGGAGTATTCCCTAACCCACGAAACATTTCGAGAGTGCTTTTGAGGGAAACTCTAATTCGCATGAGAGATAGAACTGAACAACCTTCATAAAACCGGAGGGATCATTTTGCTGGGTTGAAATGGAGGGGATTTCCTATCGGTTACCATGGTTATCATGTTTCTGACATTTATTCTACTAGCATTCCTGGAACGTTCAATAGGACGCGAATCCATAGATATGATGTGAATTTTAGTAATGCTAATTTTTCATCGTGAATTTTCGATGAATGAGCATATACTTATTGTTCTATTTCAAAAGTTTCCGGGGAAATCATTGCAGTTTTTTCTTGTCGAATGGCAGTTTTTTAATCGATGAATTTAACGATTCTCGTATTTAGCCTGGACATGAGTGAGAAAGTCATAAATCGTTTGCCAATAAAAACAGAAAAATGGCAATATCCATAACATGGAGTAATTGGTTTGCTTAATGAATTAATTATTTGCTTCCGACTGGATACTTTTATTTAAATCAATATGGAACTTATGACTCTTATGTCTGATCTTTAGTTCTAGCGCTTACTACACGGCGAGAATAGTTAGATAAAAATTACATAGAAAATCGGGGGGAACCCTAGTAGAAATTTTGGCTGGCGGGGCGACAGTGGCTGGGTGCACTGTTGGAAATTTCTTGAAATGTCAGTCATCGCGTCATCTGAATTGTTGATGTTGTGAGGTTGAATTGAATTTTAAATGAAAGTGTTAAACTAAATGTCTCATTCATCGTGAAAATTGAACACCACATACAATTTAATTTTCAATAGATTGGGAATTCAGAGAAGCTGTTGTATAAATTTTCAAAATTATCAAGATTTTTCGCTGCCCTACACTGAGAAAAAAAATTTCTAAGAAATAGAAATTCTATGATTGATCCAAATCGTTCATCGATTGAATAGTCGCAAAAGAAAATGCTATTGTAAGAAACAAATATCGATTTAATTTTAATGTTTTCGATTGAAAAAGAATGAGATCAGTTGTCTAAACTTTTTTTTTGTTGCTATCTACTTTTCAGTACATACAAAGCAATGTCTGTATTATCAGATATCTTCTTCGAATAAAGCATATAATTATCCAATTTATCAGCGTCACGATATCCCGCAAAAGAATATCTGTTCGATTGAAAGCAGAATTCATAGATGCAATAAAATATTCATTTGGCCTATGAGGAACATATTGTTGGATACTCATTGATGCGAGACTTTCGCGAAGCGCAGTTTCTTGTTTACGACAAACGCAATTCTTCATCATTTGAACTGATTATTTTTCCATTGCAATTGTGAAAAAAAAATTATTTGCGCCAAATCCGAAGCGTTTGAACTAAACCAAAATTGAATTGTATGAAATCGATTTTGTCGCAAAAACAAGTATTTTCTAAATTCGATAGAATAAACAAAATATACTATACTATAACAAAATCGATTTCATACAATCCAATTTTGGTTTAGTTCAAATCGATATTTGTGTCTTACAATAGCATTTTCTTTTGCGACTATTCAATCGATGAACGATTTGGATCAATCATAGAATTTCTATTTCTTAGAAATTTTTTTTCTCAGTGTATGGACCTGCAAGTCGAGAGTACTTGAATATTCAAGAAATTAACTGACTCGTCAATGAAGAAATATACAGGAATATACAGAAATTTCATGTAATTTTGCCGTAGTTAAACATTTCAAGCGTTTTCACTTGAAATTTCAAGAGTAATTTTCTAGCAGTGCGAGCTTCGCCCGCGCGTGCTGACCTTTACTCTCTAGGGCGCACTGGGATGAGCGTCGCCCGTATGCGACAAACTTCGCTCCTTCGAACGCATGGGGGCGAGCTTCCATCAGACATGAATGTTTTTGTCATTCCGGCCGTAGGCAGAGATTCACGGACGCGGAGCGAAGCGGATATTGTTCGTCATACGGCCAAAAAAAACTTTTCTGACGAATATGATTGCAGCCATCGCCTTCGGCTCGTGCTGCAAACCTCATATTCACCAGAAAATTTTTTATCGGCCTAATGACGAAATATACTATTTTGATCAGTTACGTAGAGATGAGGGAGAGGTTATGGAATAAGTGAAGGGCATCTAGTAATTATCAATAACGGAAGTGTATGATGGTGAAGTTATTAATGATATTCGTTTATGGACGATTCGTTCGAAAACCCTGATGCACATATGGGAGAGTTAGTGAAAATTTAAAAAAAGAAACATTTACCACAAGTGCCAGTGACAGCAAGTACTTTTTTTGGGCACATCACCAGTTGATTACCAGTTTAAAAATATTCATGATGCAGATAAAAAGACAATGGGAGAGTTTGTTCATCTGAGAATGGAAGAAAACATCCGTGTAGTGGTGGTTCCAATTTATCTATTTTCAATATAAATAATTTTAAGAAAAAATTTTGACAAATCATCTCCAAAGTTGGATACGGTGCGATGCAGTGATAGGAATTTCTGTTTTTCTTCCTCTGACTTTTCTCATCTGATTGATAAATTAGTGTAAAAGCTTTTTTACAACTTAACCATTGAAGCAACAAATAAGTTATTGAACAAATTAGTTTTTCTCGAGATTATGGCAACTTGTCAAATGAGACGTTGAGCATTTTTTTATAATTAGAAGTCACCGGAGCAGGAGTTTTTGGCGCCAGCGTTTTAACGCGATTTGAACACGCCAATGGTCGCGCCGAAACGGTGGCGCCAAAAAGTCACGTATCCGAAGTCACATCTTGTCCACTATCACTCGCCTCACTATTTTCTCCCATTTTTGCCAATTTTTACCAATTCAACAGTACATTTCTAATTTATTAACCGAAAGTAGTTTTTGAAGTGCAGTTACAATCACAAACTCGCACACAAATCACAAATTCACGTAGGGGGCGAGCTCCCACAGTACCTACGGGGCGTGCTCGCCCAGACATTCTTATGGTTCGCCGCTCCGACACGTACTGTCACCCCGAAATATCCAGAGCAATAGTCGACTTAGTCGATAATCGACTGAATTTCTACTAGGGAAATTTTACTGTCCGGAGCGGTAATCATGGAGCGAAATGTAAAAATACCTGAGTTCAAATCCATGTGCCTCCGAATTTTTCAATTTGTGCATTAATAATTATTTGATTGTCCAGAAAGCTGATGGATAGCATATAGCATCCCGCTTCTCGAGTGGAAATTCAAATCATCCTGAAATTAGGGACTGATCAGATTTATAACGCTTGTATGTGTCGATGCCTGATTCGAATGTCAGGATCCGGTTTATTGGTTCAGTACTAGATCAGAACTCTTTGACCAGTGTACGATCAAATCCGTCTGGTCACCAAGCTCGATCGGAATGTCAGGATCCAATCTGTCTTATCAGTGCCTGATCAATTTTTCAGGTTCGGTCCTTATCATTCATAAATTAGCTAACATGCAATGAAAACAAAATTTGGAACTGTCTTGAAGTCGAAGTTTCATTTAGTCATGGGTGTTTCCGATGAAAGAATTAATTTTTTAATTTTCACTATCAACAAGAAATTGTGATTATAGAAATCGAATAGTAAATAACAGCAATAACCAACGTTGAACGAATTTCGATAAAACTCTTGATAGAAATTAGAAAATTAAATTTGAGCAATAGATTTCAGAGAAGTTCCGTAAGTTCTAGGTTGGACCTTGGGGTCCTGCGTAGTTGTATTCAGGGTTGGGCAAGTAAAATACCACCGGTATTTTACTAAGCTTTCTACATGTAAAAAAACTAGTAATTTACCAAGGAGGTTCTAGACCTTTTTGACCGCGTGTGTGCGCGATTGAGAAGAACTCACTCATTCTGTCGCGAAAATAATCCCATTGACAGGGTTGCAAGAGTCAGCCCTCACAAGTGTCAAACATCGCAATGGTCATAGATCGCGAAGATCAAACATCGCAAGGGTTATATTTCGCGAGTGTCAAACGTTGTAACGATTAAACAACGGACGTAGGCAGAGGACAATCTCAAAGGTCAACCCTTGCGACTTCTGAACCTTGCAACGTTGGCCCCTTGTGAGGTATGATCGTTACGACGTTTCACCCTGACGAGGATCCTTGCGAGATATGACCTGTGCCACATTTGACCCTCGCGAGGCATGATCTTTGCAAGACATAACCCTCATGACATTGGACCTTTGCAAGGTATGACCCTCGTAAGGTATAACCCTCGTGAAATTCAGTCACGAGGGTTACTGCATTGTTGGTCGGGTTAAGGGGTTTTTTACCAGTTATTTACCTTTTTTCTCACTCAGAATAAATTATCAGTATTCTACTATGTATCGTAGAAAACTCCGATTTTCAGTGAACGACCCAACCCTGGTTGTATTGAAGTGAAAACTAACTAACAAAAAATGAAAGTAAATAATAATACAAATATTTGTCAGAAAGACCTTCTAATCTAGAAAATCTGGAATTTCAAACTTCTACTCGGGTTATTTACAAGAGGAACAGCAGAAATTTTCACATTTTTATCAGACTCTCTAATTGAGCCCACAATCTCTGACTCACTGGATAATCTCGGATGTAATCCCCCTAATATTTCGTTATTCTAATAAATTTCAGGTGAATCTCCTATCCTTGAAAAGATACAATTGCAACAACGGAAGTGCCTGCAGTGTCCTCTCAGGTGTGTTCAACTGCAGTCTGGGTCACTGCGCTAATATGAGCGAGCTAATGCTTTGCCATCACAAGGCAGACGGTATAATCGTGGATAGTGAAAAAGACAACATGAAACTAAATGGTTTCTTCAGCTGCCAAAATTCACGCTGCACAAAAATAAAACGTCCATTCTCTTGTGATCGTTTCTGCCCGAAGATCAGTACCAGCAACGTCAACGTCTTTTTGATGCAGGATGACAATATCTATAGCGCGAGGTGCTCTAGGGCAATGGCCCTCAATCGTGCTCGTGGCAATGTTCTGGGCACGAGATTGAGCACGCCCGAGAAGATCTGGGATGACACCACTGGACGGGGAATTATCGCTAGTTGTTTCGCTGTGAATAGAGCAGGGAATACCATAAGGTAAATTGATGAAACGATTTTATAATCCGTGGTAAGGAATGTCAAAAGGTCCAGAGTAGATCGAGGATGGGCTAGTGCTGATCAAGATTGGGCTATCCTCGGCCAATTTTGGCCCATTCTTCATCTCCTACCAAGGATTTTGATCATTAAATGCTCAAACTTTTTGAAAATATCTCGGTAAGGGAGATGGAAGATAACACGGCGACACATTCCCGTGGAGATGACCAACGTCACTGGGTCACGTAGGTGACCACACGGAGAGAAATATTTAATAAAAATTACGTATCTTTTTCGTAATTCTGGAGCGAAATGTGGTTGTAGGAAATTTTACGGAACTGTCACGGAATTTTTCCAAAGTGTTCCGTAATTTTTATCTGAATCTCCTGTGAAAAATTACGATACCCTCGCTTAAATTTTCTGAGTCAATTCCGTAATAGGTGAGCGAGTTGTGAATTTCATAATTTTTGCTAAACATTTTTCTCTGTGCAGACTAGGGTGAATTTCAGCGATGGATTAAGCGATGGGGAAATTCAAATATTACGTAACGCGATGAGGGGGGGAGGAAGTTGTGTAATTTGGGACAATAGGTAACGGAGGGGGGAGAGAGGTTTGCCGAGGTTATGATGTCACCCCATAATTAATGAAGATAATTTGAGAAAACAAAGATATCAATTCAAGAACTCCAAGGTTTTTATTTTGATAACTCCGAAGTTCTGACATTCCTGAATCACGATTGCCTTAAAATAAGTGAACAAATGACCTAATATGAGAACAATTAGTACTGGATTTCAGTAAAAAAATAACGAGAACTAGGATTATAAGTTTCCTGGACTCTTAGAGAAAATTCTCGTAAAATAACCGAAAATTCCACGGATATCCAGGAGTTTTTGTTGCTTATATTTCAGTACCACAGAATTGCGAAATCCGGTGATTTTCAGTGAAAACTATAATTATTTTCTATGTGCAGCGGGCATTCAATATTTAAATAAAATTTCGATAGAAGAAGGCTAATTGAACCTGCCATGAAACCGAAATTTTTAATGAACACCTATGAATTTTTCATATGACAAGTGGCATAGATGAATTTTTCTACAACATATTGACAGCAAATGTCGGAAATTACTTTCTTTTGTCGTGAAACGATCAAAGTTCGTTCTAGTTCTTCATTCTTCAATATATTGTGATGTTACAAAATGTCAGAGGTTTCACCGTCATAATATGAGGATTTTCTTTCGTCATTTGGTAGAATGTGATTAATGATGTCAGTAGATCACAAACAATATTTTCACCATTGCAATTCGATGAAATTCGATGCCATAATATGATCTCGGCGGAATCCATCAAAATCGGACAAATGGATTTCTGCTTGAAAAAGAGAGGTGGAGAAAGCTTCCCACAAAAATTCCATTAGTACCGTTGGTCCTCGACTTGCGTCTGAAGCATAATAGCGGAAGAAATCAATCCAGTGCACTAAATTTTTTAGAAATCGAGATTCCTGCTCCTTTTAAAATCCTTAGAGGGATGTACGGAACGCCAACTATAAGATAGTTCCTTTCATATTCGTTTTTCAAATTGCGCTAAAACCGGTTTTCTCCATGGAAAAACGTTTTTGGAGTATTTCGAATGGCTAGAAATTCTCGTATAGCAAAAAAAATATTTCACGTTATTTAGAAATTAAGTATTAGAAAATACTTGAGAATTTTCCAAGTAAATTTTAAAAAATTTTCAGACAAACGAAGTTTTAATATCGGTTAATAAATGACCTTATCTTTACCATGTCAATTCTTGCTTTTCACATGTATGAAATATGCATGTAATAGATGAAACTTCGTAATCAAATGTTGCATAATGACCCTTATTTCCAAACGAGCTTGAGAAATTCGCCACATGAGGGTAGGGATGCGCACGAGACGAGACAAGACGAGACTTTGGAGAGTATTGTCTCAGCCTCGAAAAGCATTCAAATTTCGAGTATCGTCTCGAATTCGTCTCAGTCCCGGTTTAGAGAGTACCGTTTCGTTTCAGTCTCGTCTCGGTCTGATGAGTGTAAAACTGGGGAAATTGGAGGAAAAAAATTGTCTTTATGGTTACTGTTTCTCTTTCATTGTAATCAACTATAAATCATTCTTTTTCATTAGTTGGGCAATATTCACGGCATTACATTATTAAATTCACCAATAACCAACGATAATAATATGAGGAAATATCGCTGAGATCGAATGACGAGATGGCGCATCCGACGTTTTAAAAATATCTCACCAACTCAACTAGTTGGTAAAAAAAAGAATTATCAACCAGTTGTCGAATTTTAACAATTAGTTGTGGAATCTCAATAACTAGTTGATGAATTTCAACAAGTAGTTTTTTAAATTTAACCATTAATTAATCATTAAACAGTTTTTTGCAGAATAAAATAGATCAATCATCAAGGTATGAATAATTTCAGGATTTATGGCTCAGATAAGTCTGAGGGTAAGATGAGTTTACAGGGGGAAATAAGTTCTATCGGTGAGATGGGTTTGGAGAGGTGATGCGTCAGAGGAGTCACATTCCATTATCTATCTGACGCTTCTAGCTTACGTGATCTTCATACTCATCTGACCCTCAGGACTCATTTGACCCCAAAAATCTCCAACGACAAGACGTGACGAGACTCTCACCAAACGTCTCGCTCCAGCGGCAGTCTCGTTTCGGTATCGTGTGTAGCCCTATGTGAGGGCAATAGCGTCGGTAGGTACAACGTACTGCGCCCCGAGAAGAGTATGAATCCCTGAGAATTCACAATAAAGAGGTTAAAAGTGCAAAACACAAGAAAACACGAATTAAAACGCAGTAATCTCGGTTTTCTAAGTGATAAATACAGGGAGAGAAATGTTCATATGTAATACTACGAGAACTTCAAAATTATCGGGTACATCCCGATAGGTTCGTTGCAAACAAACGAAGGAGTCAAGTTTTTCAGGCTAAAAAATCACGAGTGCGAAGCACTCGTGCTTCGCACTCGTGATTTTTCCTGAAAGACTTGAAGAATTCGTTTGTGTGCAGGGAGCCTTAAGGGAAACGCCTGATTTATTTTGAACCTCGAGTGGTATTCGGGAGAGAAATTTCCATCCATATTTCGGCCAAAAAAATTGCACCATGAGACGAAATCAATCTGTCAGTTTCGGAGAACGGTTGACTCAATTGAATGATCTTTTGTTTTTTTATATAGCAACTACCAGAGACAATTATCAAAAAATTATCAGTTGAAAACCGTGTAGATTGTACCACGTGATGTCGAATGGTGAAATTCTATTGGCTGAAATTTGGATGGGAAAAATTCTCAGTAAAAATTACGGAACTCACAATTCGCTCACCGATTACGGAATCGACTCAGAAAATTGAAGTGACAGTATCGTATTTTTTCACAGGAGATTTAGATAAAAATTACGGAACTCACAATTCGCTCACCGATTACGGAATCGACTCAGAAAATTGAAGTGACAGTATCGTATTTTTTCACAGGAGATTTAGATAAAAATTACGGAACGCTCTGCAAAAATTCCGTGACAGTTCCTTAAAATTTTCTAGAACCTCATTTCGTTCCGGAATTACGGAAAAGATATGTAATTTTTATTGAATATTTCCTTCCGTGTAGAGAAAACACTCATCTGTAAAAATGGCAATTAAGCATTGTACATATGCCTCATGTAATTCTGATATTCGCTACCCGAAGGATAGAGTATTTTTCATACCATTTACAAAATCATTTGTAGATGTGGAGAAAAGTAAACGATGGTTGGGGCATGCAATCGATCCAATTTCACCTTAGATAAAATTGCAAAACACACTTTATAGTCAGTGAGCACTTAGTGGAAGGTAATAGCCCAACCATTGAGCATCCTGACCCCATTCAATGCTCATTGACCAGTTTGATTCATTAACTTCACGACTCGAGCGAGGAAGTTATCGTAATGGCCCCAAGCGAATGTGGAATTTTCATTATTTCTCCACATTTCTTGGCCTCTAGAATCATCCTGATGCGTTTTTGAAGACATGTCTGAATGTGTGTATGCATGTATGCACGTATGCGATCAAAATTTTGTCTAATGATATCTTCGGAACAAATAAACCGATTCAAAAAATTTTTTTCCATCGATGCATGTTAATGTGACTTATTACTGATTAGGTTATTAAGACGATCGTCCCAGCGGTTCGTTAGTCATTCGCATAAAACTTGTGAAAAAATTTTAACCCTCCTGAACTGGCTCAATGAGCAAAGCGCCGCCTTTTCTCGATTTTTTCTTGTTGCATGCAAAATTATGTATGACAAAATCTGTAAAAATTATAATGCCTAGTTCAAACCCTCTAGAATGGACTGGTAAGATTCCTATCCCTTGAAAACCCCATGAATACAATGAAAAATAATTTAGTGAGATTGGTATGGAAAAGCGGCACCTCGCCGCCCGGAGCCAGTGGACTCGTGCGTAGTCGGTTTTTAGCCGCGCTGTTGCCACGTCGTTCGTTTCAGTTCAGACATACTAGGCACGTCAACATCTCTATCACGTGCCGTGTTTGGCGTCTCATAAAAAACGTGAATTTTTTTTTTAGAGCATAAATGGTGTTTAATTCGAGAATAATGTGTGCAGTGTAGATTTTTATTCGCGTATAGGGCTCCAATGTGGCAACACCGCGCTAACCGTAACATGGGCGGCGCATTGCTCACCGAGCCAGTGGACTTGGGTGGGCACCGAACGCCAGTTCAGGAGGGTTAAAAAATGAGTTTTCTTTGAAAATTCAACAATTTTACCGAGAATAGTGATGGGTTTTGATTTTTTTAGTACGGTCGATGCATCTGCATGTAATTCGATTTCAATTGGATTCTGAGCAAAATTGTCTCAGCCGTTTCCTTGTTAGCCGGATAGAAATTTCAACATTCGCGTTTTATCTCAGTCTTTCTCGACTTTTCTAGTCGAATTTTTTTAATGTGGTTATGTGAATTACCACTTGTGCGCTTCGAT